AGTATCTTAGCTGGAGTTCCCCAAGGCAGCGATATCGCTGCCTTCCTATATAACGTATTCACCCACGACATCCCTAAAACACCCTATACAGAACTTGGCACCTACGCTGACGACACAGCAATTGTGGCCTCCAACGTGAATCCAGCTATGGTCTCTAACATGATACAAAAACACCTTAATATAATACATCTTTGGACAAAACGTTGGAAAATTAAAATTAATGAATCTAAATCCTCCCACATAACTTTCACCTTAAACAAAAAAGCAACATGCCCACATGTATCAATGAACAATATTCAAATCCCTACCTGCTCAGAAGTCAAATACCTAGGCCTTACTTTAGATAGTAAACTTACCTGGAATGCCCACCTAACACTCAAACGAAAAGCTTTAAATGCCCGTCTCCATCTATTAAGACCCCTTCTGCGATCGAAAATGAACATAAACAACAAATTAATAATCTATAAATCCCTTCTTAAACCGCTATGGACTTACGGCATTCAACTTTGGGATGCCGCAAAACCCTCCAATACACGAAAAATTCAAGCCTTTCAATCCATTTGCCTTCGTCTCCTTTCCTCTGCACCTCTGCACCTTGTTATATAACAAATAATAATCTTCATAAAGACCTTAAAATTCACTCCTTAAATCAAATTTCTAAAATTTATTACACCAAATTCTACACTAAACTTCATTCACATACAAACCCCCTAATCACAAAACTATCTACAAAAACACTTCCCGATAACCCCCATCGACGATTAAAAAGGAAATGGTGTAGGGATCTCCTATCCTAACACAGAAAAAAAAAAAAAAATGACCATACATAAACAAATTCACGTGCTGGGTGTTACCACTGGGTAATCTCCCATATTCAAATCAACTCACATTAATTTTATATTCCTATATCCCACCTACTTATTGTACACAAATAATTGTATAGATTGTAGATTACTTTACCTAATAAAAAAAAAAAAAAAAAATAATTATAACAATAAATAAATAATAAATCAGTTTGTCGAAAAAAAGGCAAGGAGAGTGTATATTTTTTATTTTGAATTGTTTGTACAAATTTTGGAAATGACAGATAGACAATTATGATGAATAAGTATTTCTTTTATTTTTACGCAAACATTTTTTTTCTTTTGTGAGATATCTTTACCTTTCCTAAGGGCCCCCAAACAAATATTTATACGAGGCTCCGCCAAGGCACGCTACGCCACTGATTTGCTTATAAAAAAATATTGAATTATGCTATAAACAAAATAAGAACACTATTGCACAGATAAAGTTCTCCTTTATGCTCTATAAAAATTTTGTAACTTTACTATGAATACTGTCCTCATATAGTGGATTTGCGCAAAACAGTTTTCATTATATTTAAAAATGTAAAAACAATTATTTTATAGTAGAACGCTGTGCAAGGCATGCGGTGCGCAATGTAACTATCGTCAATTCCCTACTCCTTATCATTAATGCGTGTGCATTGGATAATTATAACTATTATAAGTTATAACCGGCTTATCGCTTTTATTATTACGTACGACTACGACCCGCGACCCCGACGTCGTGAAACGTCTGTTGCAAGTACTAAAATAGAACTAGATAATAAAGGTCCGGTCAAACAGAAAGCGGACTGTCCGCGCAGCCAGGCCGCCGGTCCGCTGATAGTCAAATAGAATGCGGACAAGTTTGAGCGAACCAGTTTGAAAACTGCACAAAGTGTACTGCTGGTTATTTTTTATTTCTACTTTTTCAGTTTTCTGTTTTCATATTACAAAATTTCAAGCAGTTCTTCCGACGAAGAAGAATTGCTTCTTCTGCTTGCCTTAAGTCAAGTAAAAAGAAAAAAAAATGGGTATATGAAATAAACCAAAAAAAGGAAAGAATTCGGGGAGTTTTACCGACTGTGCAGTGAATTGAGTTCTTTTGAAGACCGATTTTTTACATATTTTCGAATATTTCAGAAGTGCTGATACGTGTAGAATATTCAGTGTATTGTCTACTGATTGGAGATTACGTTTTCAAGCAGTGGCGTAGCCAAGGGGGGGGCAAAGGGAGCTATAGCCCCTTCATGGTCCGTGTTTATATGTATAATGTGTCTTGACTATTTAATAGAATTAATGGATGCTCGTTTTAATCAAAGGCTTATTGATGTTATGCCACTTGAAGGACTTATTCCGGCTAATTTAAATATGTATGACGATAAAAATATTATAAAAGCTGCTAAAATATATGTCCAAGATCTCCATGATGATACCTCATCTATAATCAGAGCTGACCTGTTCATATGGAGGCAACAATGGAGTCAAAATACTATTCCAAAACCAAATTCTGCTCTTGATTCACTCTCTTATCGCACCAATCTTCGAACTAACATTAAAACCTAACCTCTTTAACTCCCGAAAGAACGTTTTCAGCACTTAATCGCTTAAAATTTTTTTTAAGAAGCACCATGTCGGAAAACAGACTGAATGGATTAGCTATAGCTAATATAAATAAAAAAGAGCAATTCGATGAAAGTGAAATAATAACTGAATTTGCCAGAAATTCGCCTAAGAGGATGCAGCTATCAGAGTGGAGCAAGTGACTGAACACTGAAACCAAAATTATTATTGTTATTATAAATTATATATTAATAAATATTTTTAAAACTATACTAAAATGCTTGAATTACGTTTAGAAACTTGGTGGTAGATGGTTGGGGGGGGGTTAAGTATGAATTCTCATATCCTCTCTTAACCTTACTTATCCAAAAAATGTGATTAGCCCCCCCATTTAAAAATCCTGGCTACGCCACTGTTTTCAAGATTACGATTAGATTTCAAGTTATTATTAGAGTATAAACGTATAGTAGTAATATTATGTTATTTATATTAGTATAAAATATTATAAAATATAATATATTTCTTTTCTATTCTATTTATGTATACATTTTATTTGAGTCCGCCGCGGTAGGCCGTTGTCTGTTTAACCAGAGTGATGTATTTAAATGGAGTACACAGTCCGCAGCGGACCGGCGGACAGTCCGCTTTCTGTTTGACCGGACCTTTAATACACAAAACTTTTATTAATAGTGTTGTATATAAATTTATAATTTATAATTCTTGCGAATAAAGGTGGTTTTACACGTTCAGTTAAACTGCGCAAACCAACTTGAGGTATTTTTGTGCAGTCTGTGCAAATAAACTGAATAAATTATTTAAGGTTTAGACGTTCAGTTATTAACACAAATCTTTGTCACTTCTGATTTGACAATGCAGCGAAAATGTCGTCCATTACCGAACAGTATATTTCCCTTCCCGCAGTGTGTGTGATTAAAAAAAAACAATAAATATTTCAAAAACAAAATAAATAAAAAGAAGTGGTAAGAAACCAACAAACCAAACATATGGTATAAAAATATCAAAAATAAAGTCTAAAGGGTTCCGAAGAATTTTGTATTTTTATTTTTAGATAAGAACATTAAATCAAATCCAATATATAGTGAGATTGCTGAACATTAACCGAGGAACTTTAAAATAGCCGAAAATATTGTAGCCGACATTATTTTAACCGAAAATATTTTAGCCGATACATATTTCGTCCAACTGTATTTTAGCCGACACATATTTTGTCCGAACCGTATTTTAGCCGACACTATTTGTCATTTGAGCATGGTAATATCATACAGTGATAATAGTTTATACCACGGTTCAGGCCCTATTATTTGTACAATTTCGGACTGCATACTTGATTTTACTGTTTTAAATGAAAATTTAGTCTCGCTACTATCTTAGAAAAAGGAATATATTACATACATAATATTTATATATTATTATATATTATTGTATATATTATTTTATTTTTGTTTTGTAAATCGTAGTGCACGCTTGTACATTCGTGATGCACATTGTGTGTTGACGTGCACATAAAAATAGGGCCTGCCACGGTTAAATGTAGATACTATGTTATAATAGTCAAATAGGCACTAGTCAGAACCGGCGAAAGCTATGGGCGACCGGGGTGACGAATTGAAAATTATTTTTATTTAATTTATAATTAATTACGCATTAACAATCTACAATTTATAAGTTAATAACTTCATTACAATATTATGTAATCCGGTAATAAAGTTTAAAGTTATAATACCAAATACCAACTTAAATTTTATTTAAACTTACTAAACAACTTAATATTACTACTACTCAAACTAGGTAAGGAGGGGATTAAAGGCGCTAAAACATCTTAGATCATATTACATCTTTATCTATAATCTAATCAGTAATACAGTATTAGATAGTAGGAGATAATATATTTTAGGAGTGTCGGCTAAAATACTGTCGACTCAAATATGATTCAGAAAAATTACGAGTCGGATCATTTATTTTTCGGCTGATTTATTATCGGCTATTATGCGCGCTCCCCCTTAGCCAATTTTTTATTTTTTTCATTGCACTGAAACTTCTTTCGCAAGTTGCCGAACTAATTGGTACTGTTAATGCTATTGTAAATAATTTTTTATTATTTCTTATTTTACGATTTTAAAAAAACACAACAGATAATTATAAAAACAACAAATAATATTTCTAACAAAATTTCGATTTTTGGGGGGGGGCTATTCAAATATTTGGAGGCTAAGCCCCCCTTGATGTCCACCTATGTACAGGAAATTTATAGAATACTAGTTTACAGGATGTTTTTCCTATAGATAATATTCCAGATCATAAACAACTTTTTGATAAAATATTTAAATTTCATTATTTTAATAATTAATTTACTAATACATAGTATATTAATATAATTGGGAATATATTTTCATAAATTTAAATTATATAAATAAATTATTATATACAGTTATTATGAGTTTTCATCAGGTTGAAAAGTAAGGATTTTATATTTAATAATAGCAGATGCAGTCTTATTGAAATTTTAAAATTATATATTACAAAGACGTTAATAAAAAAATATTTTTCTATTAATGAAAATATGATAACACTTTTTTAATTTAGTTTTACAAATTAAAACATATTATTACAGACATAACAAATAAAAATACTTGATCATTTTGTGTCTTCGTATTGCTTTTTAATTTGAAGTTTTAATGATTATTCTGTTTTCTATTCCGATTGTTATTGGACTAATAGACTCCATATACATCGCGGTTGCATTATAATCTACAACACCTGTACATTTCAAATATATTAGTTTACTATTTTAATGACTCAATATAAATTACCTAATTACCTTATGAATATTTCAACAAATTTTAGTTTTAAAGTTAAAAATGTAAGTTATAATTAGGACACCAAAACTTTTTTAAAACGTTATGAGTATACCGTAAACCAGCGTTTCTCGAACTGTGGGTCGCGACCCCCTAGGGGGTCGCGAGTCAATTTTTGGGGGGGTCGCTAGAAGTTTTTTTAATTATACAGATTGTAAGAAACAAGCACATTCATCACATACGCCTAATTATTAATTAAGTATTATATTATATATATTATATTATATTATATTATTATTATTATTATTATTATTATTATTATTATTATAAAGTAGTAAATAAGTAATAAAATAGAAAAAATTTGTTTTTTGAAATTATTTTTATTGATTCTGTAAATGTAAAACTATGGTCATGATAGATTTTTGGAAGAAAAATTGGGTCGCGGTCCTAAAAAGATTGAGAACCACTGCCGTAAACTATTCAAAAAACGGTTGAAATCTATAACAGTTAACATATCAGTAAACGTTAAACGATGAAATCGGTTGACGGATCAGTGTCGGAAGAATATCACTTTATCTATAAATAAAAATAATATAGTCCCAGTACGCAAATCGCAACCCGTGTGGTCTTGTGGTTTTCTCAGAAAACGGGTTGTTATCAACGAAAATTAAGATGGTACCAATTACGCATAGCTTTGAAGTATTAAACACACATGCACTTGTAAAATTCTTCATCGTCGACAACGGTTCGAAGTATTATTTAATTATATAATAACACGAACAAACGTAGATTTTTATAAATAATTAATAAATAAAAAAATTAATATGTATATATGGGGCTCCGCAAAATTCTGCACCGGGCCCTGAAAACTGTGGAGCCGGCACTATAACGGATAACATATTGGTAAACGATAAATTATTGAAAACGGATTAGTGACAACGAAACAAACGAAAAACTGAATTACACGTTGAGTACGGTCGTTATCGGCCGACATTTTTGACGACCTGATTGAGCATGGTAAAAAAAAATATTGTATACAACGTTGTCAGATTGAAAACTATTAGGCTGGCAACACACTAGTGTTATTTTACCGCGCAGTAAAATTATGGCCCGATATTTCAAAAACTATCGCAATTACTTTCACTTAACCGCGCGTTAAAAATACTGCTATAAAGGCTTATCGAGAGTACTCTGAATTTAAAAATGCTGACAACTTACTTAAATATTTATTGAAAGTTGGAAATATATATTTAGGGAAAAAAATTTAAATTTTTACCTTTTTCATGATAATTGTATGAATGCTATTTTTTAGCAAAAAAAAAAAAAAAGTGTAATTATAACATGTGATTTAAATCCAATAAAAGATTTTTAATTATAAATAATTATATTCAAATGTATTTTATTTTGTAATAATAATATGGAAGCACCGCGATCTATACGCCAACAATATAAAAAATGCGAAAAAAAAGGTGTCTTGTCATTTTTCTATTGGAGAGTTATTTCTTTTAGGAAACCTGAGCCGTAAAAATTTTAAATTATGAAATAATCGTTACAAATCTAAAATTGAATTACATAATAATTATAAAAAAATCTTGAAAGCACAGTAATACGGTACACCGAATAATATTCTACGGTACAAAGCGGCAACGTCGCACTCATTTTCGTGCTCAATCGTGTGATTTTTGTGTTATTTTTTGGTTCCTATCGTTTGATTGCAATCGTGCTCAATCGGGTTCCAGCCGTGGAAATGTGTCCTTAAAAACGAGAATCTGTTCACAAACCAAGCGACCCGAGTCGTCGGGTAAATTAATATCGAATAACATAACAGAAAACAATTAACCATTGAAACATAAAAGAAATTGTCATAGAAAACTATTTATAACCAAGGCTCGGAACTTTATGCGCTAAAAAATACTAAAATATGCGCATAAATATGTGTTAAAAAACATCAAAATATGTGGTATAATATGCAGTAAAAAATTGAAAAATAATTGCTTAAAAAATAATAAACCAACTACTGATTAATGTACCAGGGGTGTATTTATGGGGGGCCGAGAGGGCCCGGGCTCCCTCCGAAATGAAAACACCATTGTTAAAGATTGTTATTTTTAATACGGATATATCTTAATGCTGGGGGTTTCCGAAAATTTGTCGCGACACTGAATGTTGCTTATGCGATAATTTAAAATTTTATATTTATAAAATAGATTTATTATTTTAAGAAAATATGTGGTTAATTTTTTGTGACTCTAATAAAAAATTTGTTTATTGCAATATAGTTTTTATACTTTTAAAAAATAATAAATCGTTAAAAAAATTGAGTTTCTTATTTCTCTGATAGTGTAAAGACAGTCGAGAAATCTTATAGTGTTAAAGTAATTTTTTTCATAATAGTGTACTTCGTCCTTTCCTTCCACCCAAAAGTCATATACATAATCGGCCCCCTCCGAAATGAAAATCTATATACGTCACTGTAGTTACTGTAGTCAATGTTAGTTGTACATTGTACAATGAAGACGCTTGTATGCAGATGTATGTATAAATATACAAAATATGGTCTCCAAAACATAATACCCTATGAAACCCTATTATGTCCTCATTGGTTTTTCACAATAAACATCAATCTCGACCTACATACACTACCCAAGAAATCCACACCTCCGAATATTTTCAACAATTCATTCAGGGAAACACTGTCCCTCTCACAAAATCATATACACATTTACACCGACGCATCCGTCTTCGAAGGCCGCGTTGGGATGGCTATCATTCACGGAAAAAAACACATTTCGATGGAAACTTTCGGATAATTGCTCAATATATATAGCTGAAGCTCTGGTCATCCAAAAAGCCATCGAATACATCTCCTCTGACCTCAACCATAACCTTTTCACGATTCAAAGTGATTCTCTATCTCCCCTTGCCAGTCTTCAAAATCTTCAAAACCCTACCGACATAGCCAGGAAAATTTAAGCCGTGGTTTCCTACAACCACGCATCCGTGATTGCGTGGTGCGCGATGCGCGATGCGTGATCACGCAAAAGTTGCAACCATGAAAAATAGTATTGATGTTTATTAATAATTCACGCGCGCGATTGTCGAATCACGCACGTCAATCGCGCAGCAGTCGCCACGAAGGCAACTTTTGCGTGAAACGCAGTGCGGGATTAAATTATTTTATTTTATTTAAAATATTTTTCAATATATTATCTATATTTTAGTATATGTTTTATTTAATTTTTATAACTAATTAAAGTACTGAAACATCCCTCCCTGCTCTGTTGACTAAACATTTCATGATTTCGCATAAATTATTCGAAAGTAGCAATAGTTCTTCATCTGCTTCATACTCCAAAATTGTATAAAGCATAACCACGTCCATTTTGATGTACCACTAAACATTAACTAACTAAAATTTTCTACTCCAAACCACGTAGTCGTAAACACGTATCGTAGCAAAACACTTCCATTACGCATCGCGCACCACGCAATCACGGATGCTTGGTTGTAGGAAACCACGGCTTTAGAACGCCCACTACAGAGCACAATCAGATGGTAAAAATATCACATACTCATGGATTACCAGCCACTATAATATAGAAAGCAATGAACGCGCTAATAAGGCCGCAAAACAAGCACATTCCTCTAACAGAACCCTCTCCTCCCCCCATTTCTCCTACAGTGATATTAAAAAGATAATTAAAACAGATACTATTCGGCAGTAGGAGTCGGGACGGAACAAAATGACGACCAAACTCAATAAAATTAAAAGAACAACATCTTCATGGACTTTCCCCATCGACACTACAAGAAAATATGAACTCACCATGAACCGTCTAAGATTTGGACATACACGTCTCACACGCTTATATTTAGTGGTGAAAGATGAACCTCTATCAAGGGTGGATCCAGAACGAGATAACGGAGGGGGGGATTTTTAGCGGACACCATGATATAGATATTTATATAGATAAAATTAAAAATATTAATTATGATAAAGGTTATTTATTTAAATAAAAAAAGTCTAAAAAAAAAATTATATACAGTTGTACCCCGATTTACCGTATTTCGATTATCCGTGATCCCGATTAACCGTGCTCAGTCTTCCAAAATTATCGTCGCTCGAAATTATTCGTCTGAAAATTTTAATTAGGTCGGACGAACGTATTTTTATATTATGTACAGATTATCGAAAAACGTTAACGAACTTTTCAGCGATAAAAATATGTCACAGGTAGACATGGGCGTAGATACGGGGGGATATGGGGGATGGATCTCCCCATCATCTTTTTTTTTTTTATATAGTTTATATAAATTTTATGCTTTACACGGAAAATAGAATAACTAAAAATTCTATGTTATACATTATTATAAATCGTTTTATTTTAATTTAACCGATAGATAACGTTTGATCAGATCGTGATGATAATTTATTAGTCACTACCATCGATCTCATGCTAGGTAGTAGGTAGTCTAAGCTGATAAGCTATAAAGTTTATTAATTATTATCACGGTTATACTATCTTTAATCTTTATGTTATCATATAATTAGCTCAATTATAACAATATTATTCTGAGTTTTTGATTCCTTTTCAAGTTTTTATGGTAATAAAACATTGTACTTGGGTTTTAATGATATTTTTGTATTTAGTTGTTAATAATTATCGCCTATTATTAGATGGTATTTTCTTATGGTTTACCTTTATGTAAATGTTTCAAAAAAAATTATATTAACTTGAAAGAAGCCGTACAGTTAGTAGAGTGCAATGTACCTGTGCCTGAGGATTTAAGGCAAAATATTGAAAAAGAATTTAAATCAATGTATAAAAAGGCTGAGGTATACTAATTGTTATTGTCTTTAGAAATTATTTTTATTATATAGGAATACATATTATATAGTATATTTATTTATTAAATATAATTAGAAAATGGGAGACTTTCTGGATATTAATATTTCTATCAAATGTATAATCAAGAAACAGACAACTCGGGACAGTGTATTTTCTGAGAATAAAACGATTCAACCTGAAACTTACTATAGAATAACCATAACGATATCATATATTGATTCTTTTATAATTAATTTAAAGGAGAGGTTTCTTGTCCACAAAAATATTTTAAAAGGTACCTAAGTTACATTAAAATTGTCTTTTATTATTAAATACTATTTACAAAAATCATTATGTATGGACTTTCTATCTAGGTTTTCAATGTATATTTTCTTGTAACATTGATTTTCAAGAATTTGAAGATCTTGTACATTTTCATCTTGATACTGATGTTCAGACAGTAATTGCAGAGTTAAAAATCTGGCAATCAAAACCAAGTGTAACAAATAAAAATCTTACGATAGCTATAGATGCCCTGAGACTATGTGATTCCTCAGTATTTCCAAATGTACATCAATTACTGAAAATACTATGTACCTTACCGGTGTACACATCGACACCTGAAAGAACGTTTTCATGCCTTAAAAGGCTGAAAACATACTTAAAGAATACGACGGCTGAAGTAAAAATAGTTATTTTTCGTATTTAAGGTTAGTATAAAATATAAATCCATCTAGTATTTATGTATTTACTTTTCAGACTCGACTAAATGGATTAACAAATCAATTCACCAAGAAATTCCTATTATGCCCTACGAAATTCTTGATTTCATGTCACGTCAATCAAGAAAAATAGATATTATATTGTAAATTATAATACATTTTGTAGAAAAATATAAATAATTTTTTTTATACAAAAATGTACTAGTTTTTTGGGGTAACATATCCCCCCTAATGAAAATTCCTGCACATCCTGCCACTGCTGGTAGATGAGTTATTTAAAATTAATAGAGTCTAATAGAAGTTCATCAACAATCATATTTATCTAATCACGTTATAGCTAATACATATGGGAAATTTTCAAGTCTGTCGAATTTGTTTCATATTATTTAGTGTATTTTCAGCATTTGCTATAGCCGTTTCAAAAACAGTCATTGAGAAAATAATATTGTACACGCTTAATATGGATATAAAATTATAAATTTTTTTCATAATTCGTTTAATAAAAAGTCTCGATTAACCGTGTTTTTCATTTTTCCGTGTGACCCTTCCCCACCATTTCCCCAGATAATGGAGGTTTTACTGTAGTAATAATAATAATAATTTTTTTTAGTTATTCCAATATGTCTCATAACAATAGAGTTTATAAATTACAAATTTGTTGATTATAGACTCTATATAATATAGAGGTACCAAACGATTTTTACGTTGGTCGTCATCAGTTATCACGTTTCGGAAATACCGACAAACACAAAACTTGGTTACGAATATTTAACATCATGATAATAGTATATAACTATGATATTAATAACTATGATATCAGTATATCACCAAATAATAAATATAAGTGATAACATAGTACCAGCATAAGTTTGGTATAAAAAAAAAATAGTTTAAGATTTCCCTATTTACCCTTAAAGTAATTACGTCAAAAACTAGTTTTCTACGGTGAATGGGGGGGATAACCCTTTTCGCCCCCCTCTGGATCCGACTCTGACCCCTATATGCACACTATGGGAAGAACATCTCACAGTCGAACATATTCTTATTGAATGTAGAGCATATATCATGGAGAAAAGAAAATTTCAAGTATCCGAAAACCTTGCAGAAATATTAAATCCTAATCCAGCGAACATCAATAAACTTATCGAATTCCTATCGGCAACACACCTCATCGACCAAATATAATACTCAAATTTTCCCACATAATATACGATATCTAATTTTTTTCATTTAATCTATACATTCCAAAACGATAATGTTAATGTTCTTCTTTGTTTTCTTTTTTTTTTTTGTATTTTGTTCAATATTATAATCTATAAGTGTTAATACAAATCCATGTATATATTGTTACGTCCTTAACGTCCTAACTTAATAATAAAAAAAAAAAGAGAGTTACAAAGAGAAAATATCGTTAAAGATAATATATATATAATATTATATTTGAAATAGGCAATCTTATTTTACATAGTACTGATCGCTAAATACTACATTTAAAAACGTTTCAAATTTTACTCTAATTCAAATAACGCCAAACGTTAAACGTAAAACTCTAAATGTTTCATAACATTTGAATTGTCAATAACGGTAAACTGAAAATTTTATAAGCGTATAAATTTGTATAACGTTTAAACGCTAAAATTAAATAACGTTTAAATTATTTACAACGTTAAATGCTCAATTGCTTATAACGTTTAAATGTCCCAAAACAGTAAACAATATATATTATTTTGATTTAAGCACTGGTTATAATATATAATTATTCTTTAATGATTATGTTTTTACTTATATAGTATTATAACCTAATTACCTTGTTAAAGTTTCAAAAAATTTTAGTTTTTAAGTTCAAAAATTTAAGTGATAATGTATAATTATTCTTTATGATTATATTTTTACTTACTTAGTATTTCGTTTTTCTTCACTATTTTCTTAAATGCATTAAAATTATTTCCACCGTTGGCCAAATAATCAGATGTCACTAAAGTATAATTGGCAGTCAATATCACGGGATCAAATTTAGGAACGCTACAATCACCGCATCGAAGATATAATGAAGAGACTCGATGACCTGGTTTTTGACTCAAATCAAATTCAACCAAAACACCTGGAAAATATTTATTTTAGTTTAAGCATTAAATATTGAAAAATTAAAACAATTAGATACTTCAATTATACTTTTAAATAATATATAAACCTTAATTTAAACTCACAAATATTATTATAATTAACAATTAATAAATATAAAATAAATAATACTGTAAATTTATAGTTAATTTAGAAATTTAATTCACTTAAATAGACAATAGTTTATAACTTATATTATGTAAAGTAATAATAATAATAATAATGTACAATACAATTAATTTATCCTATCTTATTAATCACAAATTGTTTTTAATAACTAGAATCAGATTAATAATAAAATTTTAAATTCATTTTTTAAAAAAAATGTCCTACATATTTTCTAAAAAAATATGATTATTTTGTATCAGATTAAAAAAGGTTTAAATAAATTGTTTTAATTTTTCTTCTTACCAGATACTTGTAAAAAATTAATTCCACCATTATGCAATAGATAATCGAAAACACTGTGTTCAAATGCTTCTAAAAGACTAGCGCCAGAAATTGTAACTTTGACCAGTTTATTGGCAAACGGAGAGACATTGATTAACTGTCCCAAAGTAATATATCCTAGATAACAATAAAGTATAGCATATTATTAATCTAAAACCAATTATTATTGGTAGCTTAGTAATTAAACCTACAAAACTTGAATTCTAAATAGAATTATAATGAATTATTTTTTTTATTGCGTAAAGAATTGAACATATAATTTAATTTATATTATACAAAATGTTGATAATGGCAACCCACCAAGCCTTTAGGTGAAAAAACACTAATGCCACTTAAATGTTGTATCAACCCAGGATATCCAAGATTATTTTTTAAACTAGGATAATTAGGAAATATAAGCTAGAAAACTAATAATTTTAGCTTCAAGTAAAGAGATCTGGCTTTATTTTTATAATAGCAAGGTTGTATCAATATATATATATGAGCCACTATCAAGCTAACCAAGAAACATTTCTCACCACTGAATTTACAATATTATCTTTGTATAAATGGCAATATTAATATATGATTGGCAAGAGCTTAATTTTGAAAGTTTATTTTTATTTTCGCCACCTTGTATGTGGGATGTGAATTGATACTGTTGTTAGTTATTGTACGTTAAAACTGTCAAAATTAAATATCGGTAGTAATTTAAAATTTGTACAATTGTATCGCGATGAAGAATGTCTGTGGAATACTAGCATCCCATCTTACAAAAACAAGTGTATGCGTGATTCATCACTTCAAAAAATTAGTATTGAGTTTTATACACTTAGCATAAAAATGGTTTTTAATAATATTAAAAATTAATTGCAACATATTTTCAAATGTTGACATGAATTTAAAAAGTAACAAGGTCTTAATTCCCTAATAATCGTTAGAATTGTTAGCAAAACTCAATGCAATACTGGCATTTTTTTTTAACACCGTAAAAATCATTCTAGTCTATGTCAAGCCAGGATGGTAAGCTAGGATAGATACTGAAAATACCAAGCTTGCAACTCAAAATTGAAAAAATAGCCTCTTGTATACCGGGAAATATGTTTATTTTTCATAAGGTAAATCAAACCTTAACTCAATAATATAATTGTTTTTTTTAATTTTGAAATTTTGTTCTTTGTATAAAGTCTTAAACATTTTGTTAAAGTACTATCTAATTAATTTCAATACATGACTAATTTAATAAATCAAAAGTAGTTATTCAAAATACTGAAATATAGCGTTTTCAAATTTTATTATTTGAAAAAATGTTACCTTCATGATCATTTTCATTTATTGTATTTCGAATACTTCCGGATAGAACGATCCCTATTGGTGCATCAGTCCAATACTCGTCGTAATTTTTTTTTTTTAACACGTTCTTAAAAATATAATGTTATGAATAAAATAATTTTCACATTTAAATATACTTACATAGTATACAAATGAATCAGCTATGAGGTTTCCTATATTGCATTCCATAAGATGACAATTATTTAACAACTCAACAGTTGTACGTCCAACAGTAACGTTTGTAATTTTAGTAACCGACGGTTTCCATTTATCAATGACAGTCAACATAGATGGATCTATATTATCATACATTTTTTTTTAAGTTGGAGTATGCTATTTAAAATTAATGTGTGTTTATTTACCTTGTTTTATTTCATTATTCAATAATATTGGTGAACCATTGATACTAACTAAATCACCATTTGAGTTAAAGTGTATATCAACTTTGCCTATGTACTTGGTATTTGCGTATATTTGTAATATTGGCACGGTCTTATTTTTGACAGTGGTCACATATAGCGGATATGTTCCATATGGTTTTTCAATGCTTGGTGGTTTGCCTAAATATATCAATTTGATGAAAAAATTAATTTATTTGAACAATTAAAATTAAAAATTTTGATTTTAACTTTGATACTACGTTACATTGTTGGTTTAAAAACCCCTAGACGGGTTCTGATTATTGTTAAGATATAAAGAGGGAGAGGAAGAATTTTATAAGTTGAAATCTAAAATTCAATAAATTCAGCTTTTAAGCTCGACCATTTAGAAAATTATTATTTTATTTAATTGTTTAAATTAATATAATATACTTAA